GAGAGAGAGAGAGAGAGAGAGAGAGAGAGAGAGAGAGAGAGAGAGAGAGAGAGAGAGAGAGAGAGAGAGAGACGTGCTGTTAAGTGAATTGTCTTATGGCAGTGTTGAGAAAGGTGTGATGGCTGAGTTCAGCAATTGTTGAAAGTGGAAGAACAGGTCGTGCAAGAGTAAGAAGGAGAGGCTCGTGGGGTGGAACAGGCAGAGAGGGGATGGAGTAAAAGTGGGGGGTTGGCTGATACCAACGCTGATCGAAGTGCGATGGCTGTATGCGGCAATTGTTAAAAGCATTGAAAAGAACCCAGGACTGGTTGCAGAAGTGTTAACCTGCCTGGAAATTTTGTTTTTGTTGTTAAAAAAAAAACTAGGCAGCATAGTATGGATAACTCTTTTTTTTTTTCTTTTTTTTTTAATTTAGACCATTTCTCGATTTATGCGTGTCATCCTTGCGCAGGGGCCATGCTGATCTTCTCTGTATCGTTCCAATTTTAACGGATGTCCCGAAGGACAGTATTGATAACTCTGGCTCCTTGTCTTTGATGTCAAGGGAAGCTGGGCCCGGTTTCCAGCAGGTGCAGCTCCCCACCAATGGAACGGAGCCATTCACAAATAGGGTACGTGGAGGGGGTGTCTGCTCGTATCAGCACCTCCCCCACGCCCAACTGCAATGTTTCAAAAAAAAAAAAAAAAAAGAGTGGCTCCACTACTCGAATCCTCTGCTAGAACATGGAAATATACATTGCCCAACATTATTTTTGTGGCTTGTACATGTGGAGAGTTGTGGAGCAAGGGCCGTGGTCAGGCCTGAAGTGGTGTTTAGAGCCTCGCTCCACTTGTAACCACAAGAAGGAGCAAGTGGACTAGCTCAGTCGTTTTTCTCTTTTTCTCTTTTTCTCTTTTTTTTTTTTTTTTTTTTTTTTTCCAAAGTGGACTAGCTCAGTCGTTTCTCTTTTTTTCTTTTTTTCTTTTTTTTTTCCAAAGTGGACTAGCTCAGTCATTTTGCTTTTTTTCTTTTTTTCTTTTTTTTTCCAAGAGCCAAAAAAGTATGGCCGTGTATGATTCCATATCTGGGCACAGCACATAGGGCCTTGCTCCAGTACCCTCCAAGGGGGAGTGGGGGGAGCATTTTGTGCCAACCAATTTAATCACCTGTTGAATCTGACAGGGAGACCTTTCAGGCCTTTTTTAATAATAAGTAATAATTGTAGTAGTACAGGGAACCCCAAAGCAGCCAGGCTGAGTTTAAAGCACCAGTACACTGCACATGGGCCCGCAGGTGTCAGCACAAACCCCACACCACTTCGGAGGTCGCCGATTATTTTTTTTCAACGGCGCCCAGCGCCGAGCGGCCCCTCCAAGTTTTGCTTGTGGCGACAAAAAAATTGTGCAAGGCGGGGACCGTGTGCTTTTTCCAACGAGGGAACATGCCGGGACTACACCCGACCTCGAGAATTATTGTGAAGCGCAAACCTCACACCCCGCACGGTTTCCCGTACCTATGAACACCGATCAGAGTAATTGGGGGTGTGGCCGATGATTTTCGACCCATGGGGTTGAATCACCCGGACGGAACAGGGGATTCTTGTTTCATACCGATGCCTTTCTTGAGTTTTTGGCCTCACCGAGGACAAAAAGGAGATACAAGGGAGTTAGAGGGGTTATTTTGAAGCGGCACGCCCTGTTCCGATTCATAATTTTCCTTCCGGCCGAGGAGGCTGAGAGAGGCGCGCGTTTAAGCCGATTACTGACAAGCAAAAAGGAGGGGAAAAAGAGATAGTGAAGAGCGGGACTTGCTGCTCTTTTCGCGCCACGTTCACGTTAACTCTGAGGCGGGAGCCCAGAGACATGGAGTTTTCAGGCCTCTGAGTCGGATTCATCGAGTCCCCGCGGGTGGCTGGGTACGTCGTCGTTTGAGTTGGACTGGGCTGGGGGAACCCAGGTCCGGAAGTTAGCCGGGAGAGCGCCCGTGCTTTGGGAGAGCTCTGGGAATCTGGCCGCGCCTTCGTATCCCAGGACTAGTCTTCGCCGGGAACACAAATCCCCCTGTCGACACCAACGAGAGTTAAACTGAGGCAGCCACGTGGCATGGGCCGCTGACCGTGGCAACACCGTCAAATCGGTGTAAGGCAGAATCAGGGGAGGGCCCGGAGGAAAAGCGATCAATCAGCACAAAACCGCTTCCGAGTGAATCTGATCGGTTCATCGTAGGGTGTTTCGTATGTCCGCATCGCAGTACACGCTGTCATCGTCTGCGATCGGGAAGGGTGGGAGCATGCTGCAACAAATCGACGAGAAGGTCGAGCACGAGCAGTTGCCTGTGCCCACGTTCGTCGAGACGGACACTTACTCCATACAAGTCTCAATAGAAACCACCCCACCCCCTCCGTTTCAGTCAGAGTGCAGGCTCAGGGGTACTGCGTCGTGATCACCAATCAGTTGTTAGGACAGAGATGATTAGGGCCGAGTCCCGGAGATATGATCAGCCGATACGTGGAGACGTGTGCGACTGATGTCCCTGGTCGCCGGCTGCTAGTCACGGATAAACACCAGTCCAACTGACCCATATTACCTGCTCGTGCGAGGGGAGCGAGGGGAAGAGTTAACAACGATCCCCGTGCATACGCGTGGCACCGGGATCGGCAAGGGGTCGCGGAGGAAGGGAAGTTCAACACACTCATGCATTCATGCTAGACGGTCGACACACAGTGCTCCCCAGAGTTGCGCTTGGGAGCGCCCACTCACCTACACTTCCATCTATCTTGGACAGCAAGACTTTCAGCATCCATAGACTCTTGTACCAATTATCATGCATGCAGCTGGGTAACAATACCTCGGGACACTGCACACAACACACTTGGAGAAAGCAGCAATGGAGATAGAAGCGAGTCCCTCACTATTCAAAATTCACAAGGCTGGCCTCCCTCAGGCGCAACCCCCAACCTGTCCGAACATCAACCAACCATAGCCACAAGGCCTTGCCGCTGGCGGCGTTCGATCTCCACCACCGCTCCGTCACTCTGACTGTCTTACCCCAAGTCTACTGCTAATGCCACCCCACGTCGTCACTCCGCCCGCCACTGGGCACGTCAAGCCTGTTTGACGCCATGGACTTCGCCCATAACTTGCTCAGCATTGCAGCCGAGATCAAAGAGAGGGAGAGGGAGAGGGAGGGACTGCGAGACTTTATACTGCGAGACTTTATAGCGCAGAAGGCGGCGGAGTGCCAGCGCGTGGTGCGGGTAGCAAGGGGTGTATGAGCAGGACAGAAGACAGGCAGGGATTCTAGGAGGATCGAAAAAGGTGAGCCGATAGTCCTGCGTAATTGGGGTGGTCATTCAAGTGATGCGCACTAGACAACCAATCACTCATGTTGATAGGTAAGGAGAGGATCAGGCATAATGTTGGGGGAAGACGAAGAGGTACGCACGAAGGAGCGCGCAGCAATAAGGGAAGGTGGTGCGTAGACGAAGAGCAGGAAGCGGTCTTGCATGCCGCACTAATTTCTATCCGTTTCTTGGATTCCTCGCCACTTTCGCTAACCGTCCGCGCGGAGAAATCAACAGGGACAGAGGGTTGGGCCCGCCAGTGGGGGCCCGGCTAACACAGGGACCGAGCATTTGCCAGTAACTGCCCCTCCCTTTTCATCTTCCCCCACCCTCACCGAGTAACAGCTTTGTTGCGAAAGATTTTTTTTGCCCAAAAATGAAACCAACCAGTGTCCCTTACAAACATTTGCAGTGACCAATGGGATGAGCAGGGCAGGACAATTCGACGATTTTTTTTTTTTTTTTTAACCCCCCGGCCACCTTAAAATTGAGTAGCCCAATGTTCATCTGGAAAAGGTCCTGCCACTTGAGCATAATTTGTGCCTGCTGGCTAAGGGAACTTTCCTAGTTCAGTTTTACCAAGTAGATATAAACCACCCGCTAAGTTTGGAAATGTGAAACCTATGGATACCGTCTGTCAGTCACCATGCACATTGCTGTACTTGAGGCCGGGCCGAGCGGACTTGAGGCCACTGGAGGTCCACAACTCGGGGAACGCTCATATCAACCCTGATTTCTTTATTGAGAAAACTAGAGTGCAGTCAGGGTTTGAGTTTGAAAATGCACTCATATCTTTCTCGGCCTTTTGGCTAAGATCAAGTGTAGTATCTGTTCTGATCAGTTTAATATCTGATCCCTGGTCCATCGGGCCACATTAAAAAAAAAAAAAAAAAAAAAAA